AAAAGATGACCGGTAAGGGGATCTCAACCCTTGGCTTGGTGTTGTCAGCACCACGCTCAGCCAGTGAGCAAACTGGCCATCCCTATATAGGATCCGAACCCATGGCCTTGGTGTTATCAGCACCGCACTCTACCGAGTGAGCCACGGGCCGGCCCTAAAAAGATGGGTTGATGCATGGACAGATACGTGATAAAGCCAAGTGTAGTAAAATACTAATTGTAGAATCTGGGTAGTGTATATATGAGTGTTCACATACAATGACTCTGAATGTTTGAAAATGTTCACAGTAAAACATAAGGGAAAATAATAAGGGGTGTGGGTTCATATCTCTGGTATCTTCACAGCCACTGCTATGGTTTAGAGCTCTACATATTAACCAGAATCTTGCAACCACCTTCACACTGGCCTCCACACTAGCCCACTCCAGTCTCTCCCAACCCCAAGGATTGCCAGAGAGAATGTTCTGAAACATAAATCCAACCTCCATGATCCAGTCTTCTTTTCAGCTTCATTCCCCCTGACACTTGTCACCTTACTGAAGCCTGTACTTCAGCTCAACTCAAGGGCTTGTAGTTGCACTCACACACCAGGCTGCTTCATGACTTTCTACTTTTGCCTATGCTGTCCCTTTGCTTGGAATGCTCTATTCCAACTCATCCTTCTGTTTTCCCTTACTTGGTGAATACCTTTCAAGACTCAGTTCAGGTGTTACTTTTTCCCAGAAGTCTTTCCTGCTCCTCAGTTTGGGTTGGGTCTCCTTCCTTCATGCTCCCATAGCACTCTGTACTTATTTGTAACATAGTATTTATCCTAGTAATGCTGTACTTGGATTTCCATGTCTGTGTACTAAACCACATGCTCCCTGAAGATCCTTCCAATGGCATGAACAGGGCCTGACACAAAAGAGGCTTTGATAAACCACTGTAGAACTGAACCATTGATATTGAACTGGCATGGATGATATTTTGACACCTTCCAACAACTTTGTGTCATAGATTTGATTGTACCTCCTCTATAGGAATTTAAAGCCCACCACCCCTATTGACCAGACATCTCCCAATGTCCTTAGAATACCACCTTCCTCATGAAGCCACCTCAATTTCCTGCCCCATTTTGAAATAATCTCTCCAATTCCTTTAAAGGCTTACTTTTTCTGCACTTCTTTTTATGAGATTATAGGCTTTGTTGGGCAAATTTTGAATGAAAAAATTAAACTACATTCCTGATCACCTGAGTGCCAGACACTGAATTAAGCTCTTTAAAGATTCTAGCTACTATAATTCATCCCAACAACTCAATGAGGTAGGGATTATATCTTCATTTTACAGATGATGAAACTAAGGCAAGGAAATATGAAGCAACCAGCTCACAATCACATAGGTGGCAGAGCTGGAATTCAATCACTAGTTTTCTCAACTCCCAGGAACATCCTCTTTCCACCACAGTCCATTATGTCCAGGTTGGGCCAGGTACTAAAAAGCCTTGAAGTCCAGAGGGTGTAATATGCAGTGGGAAGCCATGGAATGTTCTTAAGCAGGAGGAATGATGAAAAACAGAACTTTGGGGAGATACTCCTGAAAGGTTGTATATAACAGAATGGAATGGAATGTGGGGGGAGCTGCTGAGCTCCTGACAAGGAAAATATAAAATGGGTATTGTATCTCTCTTACCATATTCATTGGTGAGTGCTAGCATTATAATGTGGTCCTGTGCAAAAGGAGAAAACTTGAAAAGGTGAACTATTTTGAGTTAAAAAGCTGAAAGGGGGATAGAGGAGTTCATAGTCTTTCTCTTGGGATGTGTAAATGGCTGACTCCATGGTTCTGTCTCCTGGAAATGGCCTGGGATTTCTGCCCTTTATGGAATGTACAAGTCCAGGAAAAAGTCAGAGTTGACTGGACAGTTGGGTGAAGGCTTCCTTAGGAAAGTGGCATTTGATGGGGCATTAGGAGATGAGATGGTGCCTTCCCTCTCTCTCTTGCAGTAATTTCTTTACTCGTTTCCCTGGCTTCAGTCTCTCCCCCTCCTAATCCACCCTCAAAGGGATCCTCTTTAAAAGCAAGTTGGATCATGCCATTTTCTTCTTAAACACCTTTAATGGTTCTGTCACTCATGGTTACCCCATGAGTCAGGTCTTTTGACAAATGTCAAAATTAGATATCATCCATTATCTGTGGTTTTAAAATAAGTGTTACGCCTAAAAACTAATCAGTTATGATCACATGCCTTCTCAAACTACCCATTCCTTCTTGGAAGTTCTGCATGTCCCCCCAGGTGAAAGTCACACCTGCAGTTATACTAAATCACTTGCCTTTCTCCATATACACACATTTTCTCGCTGCACTTGTTTTTATCCATGCTATTGCCTTTACTTGGAATACTCTTCTCACTGTTCTCTGCCTGACTGGCTAATTACTTTTCATCTTTCGGCTCAGCCATCACCTGACAGGAAGTCTTCCCTGAACCCCCTGCTTCCCTAAGATGGATTCCCTGGCCAATTTCCCACAGTCATCTCTCTCACTGCGCTATGTTGTATGGTGCTCTTCTCCACTCAACTTACTAGAAGGCAAGTGCCATTTCAGTCAACTTGGTGTGAACAGAGTCCTGATGGAGGGGCTGTGTAGTTGAGGCAGAGGACACGTGAGCAAGCAGAAGTGGAGATCTGTACTCAGGAAAAGTTAGGGCTAGAGGATTCAGTGTGGGAATTAACAGCATCCAGAAAGTTTAGGGACAACCAAGCTTCTAGATGGCTTCTTGGGTGAGATAATTCCATGTGGCAAATGTAGAAACTGAGACCCAGACAAGCAATCTCCCCCAAATTACTTGGTTAGCCATTGAGAAGGAGGGCTCTCAGCAACAAGTCCTGTGCACTTTTCCACTCCATGCTGGAAAGAGGGAAGACTGAAGTTGGGTGCCTTGTTCCCCTCCCAATTTTTAGACAGGAGCTTCTGATCTGCTAGCATTTCCTGCCAGGACTGAGGAGTAGAGTGACCGAGATGCTAGCTTATCATCTAACCTAAGGCTGGTGACAGTGCTTTGTTCCTTTACTGAGGAGGGTGGAGTAGGAGGTGGTAACAAAACTAACCCAGCTCACCATTTCTACAAAGGCTCTGAAATCCCTCATCTCTTTCCTCTTGCCTTTCTACCTGGAGACAGTTCCCCATGCTCCAGACATGTACTTTCTCTATCCAAACCCAGCCTAATACTGAGACTCAGATTGTGAGAACTGGAGGTGGCCATTTAGCCAGCAGATGCCAAAACTACACAGCTTCATGCCACACCCACAGAAGCACTATCTCCAGAAGGAAGAAATCTAGACTGGGTTCAAACTCCTTTTACAGTGAGTTGCAGACAGTAAGCAGCCTACCCTGGATCACACAGAGAATCAGGGTGGTGGTGAATTTGGAACTGAGGTTCCCGACATCACCCTGGGGGCTCTCCTCAAGACATAACTCTCCATGCTGCACCTTGCACACAACAGGTGCTCAATAAACATCCGTTGGGTGATTGACCTTCAAAAGACTTTCTAACATGGTAAAGGAAAAAGAACATGAGTTTTGGAATCAGGCAGATCCTGCTGTGGAAGACCACTAGCAAGCTTCAGTCTCCTTAACTGTAAAATAGGGTTAATTTCCTCATGGGGTTGTCAGTAAGGATTAAATGAGATATACTAAGTAAAATCTCTGGTCCAATGCCTGGCACCCAAGACACTTAAATAGTGGCAGGTATAAGTGAGAGGTGGTAGAACAGAGTGATAAGAACACAGATTCTGGAACCAGGCGGGTCCCAGAACTTACTCTATGTGTGACACTGGAAGGTTACTTTGCCTGTTTCGTCATTGGAAGGATGAGGATGTTGGTGAAGATGAAATGATTCAATATATCTAAAGCACTAAGAGCAATGCCTTGGCACAAGGAACCAAGCATGTTAGCTCTAATAGCTATCCCTTATATTCTATCCTTTGCACTGGCCTTAAGCACAGTAATCAAGTTCAGATTGTACCACAAGTGCCTGGAGGAGCTGTCAGAGAGAGAAAGGAAAAACAAAATCCCACATTTTACTGGCTACACATATGTAGCCAGTAAAAACAGCCCGTGGAAGCTACAGAAAGCCTTCCCATTGAATTTGTCAGGCCCCTTTGAATTGTTGCACACTTTCTTTCCTGCTCAACTGTACTTCTGATTATCTGCTTCAGGCCTGTGAACTGTGTCCCTCCTGAGGACAGGGATCCTTTCCCCTTCCCACCTCAGGAATAAGGTTGGGCACCAACGAAGTGCCCACTGGCAACTTGTTGAAGGAGAGAGGAAGAAGTACAAAAGAAGACTGCACTCCTGGACCCCACACAATACCAATACCACCACCACCACCACCACCACCACCACCACCACCACCAAAAAAAAAATGCCAAGCAAAACAATTGCCAAGATAAATCACTTTTATCTCTATAGGAAAGGGAGGATCTAAAAAAAAATATAAATTACATTAGTAACACAACATAAGAAAAAAACGGGAAAAAAAAAACCAACAGAGAAGTCTGGATGAGGCTACTCTAACCTATTTATAAAAAGGCCCTGCATCAGAAATTCACAATCCTACCCACTTCTAAAAATATATTTAGACATGTACAGAAGCGGTGGGCTTGTTTTTAAATTGTTTGCTTTTTTTGTAAAAATATATTAAAGGTGAATAGAAATCCTCTCTCTCTGCCCCCTATTCAATCCCTGCCTCTCTCCAGGGGATTAGAGATCAGAGGTAACTATCTCACCATGTTCTAAACCTTGGTTACTACCACTTCCAACCCCTCCCCAACTCACTTCACTTAGAACCTGAAACATTAAAAAATCAAACACACAAAAAAACACTAGCTTCTTTGGAAAAGCATAACTCTTGAGGGTAAACTTGCTTTTCACTGGAAACAACACAAAACAACAAACAGGAGGCTCCGAGAACCCAACTAAACTAAATGAAGCCCAGTCAAATGGAGGCTGGGTTTCAGCTCCGCAGAAACTTCTAACAAAGAAACAGAGGGGAAAGAGGCCCGGAATCAGGGGGATTTGCTAGCAATTAGCTGCCTTTGAAAGATCAAAAGGGGGTGTTAATGGGCAAACGGGTTGGGGACCTGATCTTGGTTACAGCAGTCAGCGCCTAGTCAGGCAGTTGCCTACACAAGGACAGGCTTCTCCCACCCTCCCCTCACTATCCTCTGCTGCCTTGAAATCTCCAAGATAAGCAAAGCTGGGTAGAAACAGGGGAGGGTAGTAGGGACCTCACATGCTATAGGGGAGGTAGCCAGGCTTTTTGCCTTTGGTCTGACTAGATGGAGGACTACTTGGTCCCTGGGGTCCCCAAGGTAGAAAAACGAAATGGGCTAAGGGACCCCTAATTCCAAGGAAGGAGAGTAGAGGCGGGGCTATGGAGACAAGACAGACAAACTAGAGACACAAAGAAGACAAAGGAAGCCTCACAGATTCCTTGTGGCCTGCTGTTAAATGCCCCAGAAGCACTGGACATGCTGGGGTGAGGTTGGAGTGGGGGGTAGAGGGCAAGGATACACTTTGCTTGGGCAGTGCCAAAATAGAGAGGCAATCTCCATCAAGTCCAGATTGCTAGTGAGGCAAGACAGGAAGGAGGTGGGGGCACTGTCTGGACAATGGAGGCAACCCACAAAGGAAAGATGGGGGAAGGGAGGATCAGATGGTCTGTTCCTTCACAGACAGGCATCTCTTCTAGGTTTGGGCTCATGAGTGGCCCGTCTGCACTCTGCTTGAACTCTGACCTGTCGTCTGGAAGTGCAAAGGCCCAGGAGTGAAGATGTGAGTTCTGAGGTCTTCTGCAGACCAAGATCTTGGCTGGGGAAAGAAGCATTGAGGTTCCCAATGGAGAACCCAGGGGTGGGCTGTCCTGCCACATCCTCTCTGGAAGGTCCAGGTTATGTTCTGTGGTACAGGTGGTGGAAGCAGGCGGTAGGGCCAGGGTTATCTGCTTCAATGGCAGGTGCTCTCCAGTTTCTGGTAGATGGTTTTTTGCCTGCTGGGGCCCAGCCACAGCCATAGCCATGTGGATAATGTTCTGCAGGACCTCACAATCCAGGCAAATCCCTGGAGCTCACCCTAGGACAAAGGGCTTCATGTGCAGCCAAAAGTAGCTTCCTCTAATGAGCTACAAAGTCATGGTCAAAGGCTTGGGCATCTGTCTTCTCCCCACCTTGAAAAGTGACAGGAATCTCCTTTCTTCCCAAGGGTAAGTCAGCCTTTCTAGGCCACCTCTCGAAATGGCCCACTGTGGGGCAGTAAGGAGACTCTGGGCTCTCTTCTTTATTTCCATGAAGCATTTGGCAAGAGGGGGCAGGGGCCACAGCCTTCTCCCAGGAATGAGTCTGGAGGTGGGGCACATCTACTGGACTTGGGGGAAAAGGAGAAGAAAGAATGGGTGGAGGTGGGTAGGCTGCTGGAGACAGGGATGGAGTTGCATAAAATGTTGAGCACAGGGCCTCCAACTTCATGGTTAGGGTAATATTGAGAGGTCCATTCATGCTCTCTTCATGCTTCTCATCCTGCCTTCCAGCTCAGGTGGGAGAGGGACAAGAGTAAAGGACAGACAAGGCAGGTGAAAGGGAAATGGGTTGGAAGAGCAGAAAAGAGGATTCTAGTCAACTGGAAACCTCCCCTGTTTGCCTGCTACTCAGGGGTATGGAGAAAGAAAGCAGGATGCTCTAGTGGAAGTGGGGAAGGTAGTCAGTAGGGGGGTCTGTGGGGGGAGTCCGTGCCTTTGGTCAGTCCCAAGAAAGCAAGACCATGCACCTCAGCACCTTGTCCGGGGCAGATAGGATCCAGGAGTGCCCCAAGAGTTGACAATGGAGAAGGCCATGGGAGTGAAGGAGTGAGGCATGGGACACAAGGGGGTTCACAGAAGTAGTTTGCCATTTCTGTGGATTTTCAGGATACGGCCAAGTCTCTGCTTTGCTGTGGCCAGTCCCTTTTTGGGACGCTTTCCTGTGGGAGAAGAAAAAAAGTAAGCAAAGACTATGGCAAAGGCTTCAGCAGCAACTCTGGCACCAACTGTCTTCAGGCCACCTCCCCTCCTCTGTTTCTCTGTCCACAAAGCCTCCCCATCCTTAGGCCATATTGGACAAGAAGCCCTCCTTAACCATTTCTGTCCAACACCACATGCCTTGGCTCTTTCTATGACCTCTTGAAGCAGCTACAGACTCCATGGTTACAGTTTGTCTGGCTCTTTTTCCTCACTGATTTCTTTGATCCCAATCAGTTTCCTTCCAAAATTCTGCAGAGAAGTGAATGTGCTTCCATGCCCTCTTGTTCTGCCCACCAGGATTGGATAAGTGCCTGGCTAGTGATTATAGTTGTGTCCCTAAAGTTGCCATCCCCAGGGCTTTAATTCATTAGAAATCCCCATCCTCGTCAACCCCCAACATCACACCAACCTCAATGTCCGTAAGCCGCATACCCTAGGGACTGGGCTTTGAGGGCCAAAGTGAGGGAAAGGAGGACTTGAGTCCCTTAACTTCGTCTTCCCTCTCTCTCTCTCTCTCCCCACATCAGATCACCTCCCACATCCTATCTGATCAGTTTATCCCTTCCCCTCTACATTTCCTCTGCCAGAGCCCTAGTCTCTCTCCATTCCTGCCTGAACCTGTGTATGTCCCCCTTTCCTAGAGTTCCCATCTCCAGTCTGCCCTCCACTATGGCCACCAAGATCTTTCCAAACTCAAACCTGATCTTGTCTCTACTTAAAATCAGTCAGTGTCTCTCCACAGCCCATGACATCAAGTCCAAGCACTTTAGGTTGGCCTTCGGTGTCCCTCCCTGGTGTTCTCATCTACTAGAGCATTGAGAGTTTGGAGCAGGTGGCCCTAAGATACCTCTCAGTTTTCCAACCATATGACAGTTGTACCTTGTCCTGCCTGATTGCTCTGGGAGCCAACTGAAGGGCGCCGCTGGGTCAAGAAGACACCAGGGGCCATGGGTGTGGTGCTGCGGTTTGCCTGGGCCATGCCAAAGGCACTGGGACGAGCAGTATACTCGTGGTCAGCAAGACTTCCTGACAGGGCCTCTTGTTTAGGCTCAGGAGGAGGCAGGGGTGAGGAAGAGGTGAGAAGCTGGGCTGTAGCAGCCAGAGTTGGGGCTGGTACTGTCACGCTGAGATTAGAGTCTTGAGGGTTAGGCTGTTCTACCTCCTTCAGCAAAGGTTTCTTCTTGATATATTTCTTCTTTTGGGCCTTCTGCAGCTCCTGAAACACAAGTCAAGTGGGAGGGGAGATTCAGGAGTGGAGGAAAAAAAGAAGGGAATTTTCCAGAAAGGGAACTAGACAATGGTCAACATGGTTCTGCAACGCACCATCCACTCTCCACCCTCACCAAGTCTAGCCTGGATGTACACACAACACACAGACCTTACAATACCTGAGGTCACCTCTTTGGTATCATCCATCCTTAAGTCATCACTGTCACTTATCAGTACAGTGGCAAGAGAAATGTAAATGAGTTTGGAGACTTGGATTTTGGTTCTAGCATTGCCACTAATGAGGTGGACCATGGACACTTCTAATAATAACTAAATTTACACCAGCAGCTGAGGCACTTTATATACTTTATCTCATTTAATCCTCATAACAGCCCTAACAAAGAAAACCCCTCCTTTTACAGGTCAGAAAACTGAGGTGCAGGGATATTAAGTAATTTGAGCCCAAAGCCTCACAGCTGAAAAGTAGTTGGGTCCAGTATTTAACCAGGTCTTTACAAAGACACACCCTGAAACTTCTCAAAATGGAACATCTGAAAAGTAGAAAAACTATTAGCTCTGGAATGAAATAAACTTGGGCCCAAATCCAGGCTTGTGCTCCCTAAATTGGATGACTGGTCAGTTACTAACCTTTCTGAATCTCAGCTGCCTCATCTATAAAATGGGTAAAATAGTATCTGCTTTTCAGGTTGGAAAGATTAAACAAAATAATGATGTAAAAATATATAGCACATATCAGGTACTCAACAAGTGGTAAATTATTATTCTATCTTCATCTTACAAAGGTTTCTTTTCCTCTTGCTGGTCTTTTTCTTTTAACAGAGGACTTGACAATCCTCTGGAGGTCACCGGGTCTAAAAACCTCCATTTTGGATGGGAGAGACAAATAAGGAATTGTGTCACTTTTCCCAATATCTTGTATTTCATCCATCCATTGCTCTATGGATATACTGCGTAGTGGGTACCTGTATAGTGGGCATCTGGAGCCCTGAGAACCTGGAAAAGTGGTGCTGAGAGCATGTGAACGACTTCACCTTCTGAAATGCTACACAGCCACACAGACCAACTCAGTGATTACATTTCTTTGCCTTCTCTCGGCAACACGAGCCTACTCCTGCCTTCGGAAGATCTGACAGGCTGTGGCTACCATAGGAATTTCTGGGGGACAAGAATAATAATATTAGTAATACATGCCAGGCACTGTTCTATAATTACTCACTTAATAATTATAAGAACCTGAGAAGTAAGAATTATAATCCCATTTTAAGGTTTTGAAGAAACTGTGGCACAGAGAAGCTAAGTCATTTCCCTAAGGTTATAGGACCAATAAGTGGCCAAGCTGGGATTTAGATCAAAGCCAGCTGGCTTCAGAATCTCTTCTCTCAGCCACACTGCTAACCCACCCAAACCAGGAACTGCATTTCTGTTCCCTCATCTCTCATCTGACTACAGAAATTGTCTCTTCATATCTAGATCATTTAGCCTAAATTTTTCTACCTTTGCTGCCAATTTCTTTTGCATATAATTTATCCAGATACTAGCACAGATGATTAGAGTGTTTTATGACAGGACCACTTTCACCTTGCCAATTCTCTTGCTCAAAAAGCTTTTAGCAGGTGTCCACCCAAGTTCAAACTCCCTGGCCTGACATGCATGGTCTTCCACAGTCTGGCCACTTCCTTAAAGCCAACCCATAATGATAACAGTACAAAGCTAATATGCCTATAGTACTTACTTCGTACCAAGTGCTGTTCTAAGAGTTTGTACATATATTACCTATTTTAATCTTAAGACAAAGTCTATGAGGAAATTGAGGCAAAGAGAAATTAAGTAACTTGCCTAAGTGGTAGAGCTAGGATTCAAACCCAGGTAGGCTAGCTCCAGAATACATTCTTTTTTTTTTTTTTTTGACCAGTAAGGGAATCACAACCCTTGGCTTGATGTCGTCTGCACCACGCTCAGCCAGTGAGTACACACCGGCCATCCCTATATAGGATCCGAACTCGCAGCCTCAGTGCCATCAGCACTGCACTCTCCTGAGTGAGCCATGGGGCTGGCCACAGAATCCATTCTTTTAACCATTACTTATTTTACTCCATTCCCCAACATGAAGCCTCCAATCCAGAAAGATCTGCTCATTCATTCATTCACTCACCCCAACACTGACCAAATACATATGCTTACCAGAGTGGGGATATCAAGTTAAATTAAATATATGCCCACTCTTGAAGCATTTATAGTCTAATATGTGACACAGAAGAGAACATTTATGATCATAAGTACCATGAGAGAATGCTATGGAAGCACAGAAGAAGACCACTGAAATAAAGCGATGGTAGGTGGTATGAAGGGCACATTAGGTAAGGCTTCTAAGAGGGCATGATTCCCAGTGGGCAGAAGGAACAGCTTGTGCAAAGGCACAAATGCATGAGACAATCTGACACACTGAGTGAACTATGAGTTCTGTAGTGCAGTATGGCTGGTATAAAGGGTGTGCATGAGGGGCAGGAGGTAAGGAAGGAGAGGTGACTAGAGACCAAATCAACAGGGCCTTGTGTGCTGTATCAAGGAGTTCCGTTCTCCTGGAAGGCCTCCCTGTCTCCTATTAAAAGCTTAGCCTGTAAAACCCCTCCCCAATTTCAAAACTTCTTCAACCCAAACAGAAGTGAGCTCTTTAGAAGGCACTAAGGGTAGTTTTCACACCTTTAATTAATTTAACTGTTTATTTAAAGCAGTAGAACCCCTTTTTATCAAATTACATTTACATTTCACTGGGATATACATAACAGAGAGAAGTTCTGGTTAAAGAAGGGCCGCCTGGCTTGCTTGGTCTCTGTTGGCTTCTAACAATAGCCTCTGAGACATTTCTAAGCAACTCTAGAGCTTCACAGAACATCATATAAAAAACACCATTCTATTAAATTTTATTTAAGTAGGATATAATTACTAAATTATATAAACATTTAACTATTTCACTTAAATAGCAAATAACATGAAATTTGAAATTAGAGGATATGAGTTTGAATCTTGTCTCCTCCATTTACTGGCTGTATTATCCTGGACTAGTCACTTAAAGAGAGCCTCATTTTCTTCACCTGTAAAATGATGAAAATATCACCTATTGAACAGGACTTTTGGGCAGGTTACATGAGACATTGTACATGGAAGCACCTAACATAAAGCAGATGCTCAATAATGCTTTAAGCTATAGGATGTGGCATGAGGAGCTAAGGGAATGTTAAGGACATTCACCAGAAGATTCACCTCCAAATGCTCCTAGGGTTGCTAAGCACATTATACATGTTAAATAACTTTGTAAACTGTAATGCTAGGAGGTGAACTTGATTCTAGTGAAGATAGTCCTTTAGGACAAAAAATAGTGGGTGACATTTTCTTCAGAAGCAGGGGGGTGAAGATCAAGGTAATAGTATTTGATAAAGAGTACAAGAAAAACCTCTCTCTAACTGGCAAAATTTCAATACTGGTGGGTGGCTAAGAACTTCAATGTTTGTTCCCAGCTGAGTCACCTCCTTGGGGCTTCATCTGCGGGCAAAGGATGGACCTGGTCCTTCCCATCTGAGAGGTTTTTACACACATAGAAAGGCAAGTGGTATCAGCAAGGGCTTTTCTCTGGCCCCATATTTCCTTTCATCTTAAATCATGTCAACTGTGTAACCTGTGGAAGTAGCTTATCATTGAGTTGGGATGTGAAGGATATAGGAGAGGGCTGGGATACTGCCAAGAATAAAGATCAAAGATTATCTACTCCCCAATAAGACAATAGTGAGATCCTATCTGTCTGAAGGCTGAATTTTGAGGCTCTAAGTCAAACTGGGATTAGTAGTAGGGCAATAGCCTGGGGTGCCAGCACCTACCTGTTGGGCCAGCTTTGCAGCTGCTGCAGCCAAGCCTGTCTCAATAGAGGCTACCCGAGTCCCCTCACGCACAGGACGGTCCTGCTTTGGTAGAGTTGGGGTCACACGGGCTGCGGGGGAAACAGAATGAGAAGGTGTCACACTCAGATAAAAGACATTTATCTGAAAGCCAATCATATTCCCCACCTCCAAGCTCCCCAAAGGTAGTCTCATTGATTTTCCTGCTTCTAGCTTTTGACAAAGCCAGATTTTGCTTCCCATCAGATGTGATGTTAATTTACAAATGTCCAAAGCACACACTAATTAAAGGATAAAAAGTTAACCTCCCTGAATTGGTATTTAAGAGTGTCCATGGTCTACTCCTGGCCTACCTACCTCCCTCTACCTTATGTCCACACCCATAGTCTCAGCTTATCCAGACAGATGGCTTCTTTATTACATCTCCAGAATATGTACAGCTCATCCTCTCTCCCTGTGCCTTTATGCTCACCATCCACACTACCTAGAGTACCCTCTTCCCCTTTGAAGGCAGGTTTTGAATAGGCATACAAAGGTAAGTTGAAATCAGTATCCTATCCCCAGGACCTCTCTGGTCCCCTTGATCTCTCCTTCCTCCGAACTTATGATCTATACAAGTCACTTGATACATAGCACATACCACCTTTGTCTCATTCTCTAATGCTGATGTGTATTATTTTGTCTACCACCTGGGCTATGAGTTCCTGAAGAACATCATCTTCTTTTATAATTCTTTCATAGTGCCTTAGCAACCTTGAATCAAAAAATAGTTACTCATCCTGCCTTTTCAATAGGAAGTGTATTTCAGGAGAACCAAACAGCCCCAGATGATAAGGAACAGCTCTTCTTTACAAAGGAATGCCAGCAGAAGGAATGACAGAATTAGCAAATCACAAGTTTGCAAGCCCTCATGAAATAATTGATTCTAGGGAATTGGTTATTTACACAGTGCCAAAGTATTACTTCAGATTACTTGCTAGTCTCAAGAAAAACCTAACTTTACAATGGTGAGATAAGGAGATCACCACCTTAACTATTAACTTTAGTATCGCTAATAGTGAAACAGTGTAACTTTGTGCACCTTCTACGTGATGCAATAGGAAATTCCAGCATAACCTGTGTAGTAGTATTGTTAAAAAGCTAAATCAAGCAATCCATTCATATTACTTCCAGTGTTTTGGAAACACAGGGATAGAAGAACAAGTTAAATGACACCATGAGAAAACAAGCAGACATTCTACAAGGTAACTGGCCTAATCTCTTAAAATACATAATGTCACAAGGAAGCAAATAGACATATCTAGAAAGTGGGATGTGCCACCGGGCTATTATACAAGTTTCTACAATAAAGTAATAGCATAAAACAAAAACAGGAAGACTGCTCTAGATTTAGAGAGACTTAAAAAGCATGACAGTCAAATGCCATGTGGACCCTGTTTAGATCCTGATTTAAATAAGCCCATTATAAAAATATGCCTCTGGTTAGACAATTTAGGAAATTTGATTATTGACTTGAAACAGCAAAATTTTGATAATTGTTCATTTTCACTGGTAGGTATATGAGAGTTCACTGTACTATTTTATTTTTAAAGAAAAAAGCTAATGTCACAGAAAAGAAGGCATGGTGGTGGTGCTGAACTAGATTTAAAAACTCCTTGATCGGTTAGCTATTATTATAGAGGAGAATTTCAGGATAAGCTGTATGCAGATTCTAAGACAGGCAATTCAGGAGGCTGAAGTTCTTTCTTTAAAGGCAACATTTTATTTGTTTAGAACATGATCCAAAGCAAATATAGCAAAGATATTAATGCACAATTTTGGATCATGAATATTTGGGTATCTTTTATATTGCTCTCTATAGTTTTATATGTGTGGTGGTTTTAAAACATGGCCTCAAATTCTTTGAAACCTTTTCTACTGATAGGTGGGGTCTGTGATTCCCCCTTGGATTTTAGCAGGCTCATTTGTAACCTATAGAATATGGTAGAAGTGACACTGTGTGACTTCTGAGGCTAAGTCAGAAAGGCAATTTCAATTTCTGCACTGCTTGCTGAACACTCACGCTTGGAGACCTGAGCTGCCATGTAAGAAGTTTGATTGCCTTGAGGCTACTAGGCAGCAAGAAAGCTAGTCAAATGAAGAAGCCACAAGTTGGCACTTTTAGTCTTTGAGTCTTCTAAGACCAGGCACCAGACATGTGAGTGAATGGGACTTCAGATGATTTAAACTCTTGGCCACCAAGTCACCCCCAGCCTTCAAAGTTTTTCCAGCTGAGGCCCCAGACGTCATGGAGTAGAAACAAGCTGTTCCCATTGTGCCCTTTCCAAATTCCTGACATACAGAGTACATGAATGGTGGTTGTTTTAAGTTGAAAAAAATAAAAAAATAAAAAAAATAAAAACCTTCCTTGATTAGACCTAGGTTTTAGGAAAAAAAAGTTATAAAAGTTATTTTGGGGGGAAAGTTGAAAAAATTTGATTATGGACTGGGTATTAGAAGATCTTAGGGAATTACTATTAACTTTTTTTTTTTTTTTTTTTTTGTCCTTTTTGAGACCGGCCACACCGCGCTCAGCCAGTGAGCGCTGTGAGCGCACCGGTCATCCCTATATAGGATCCGAACCCGTGGCACTCTCCCGAGTGCGCCATGGGCTCGGCCCTAAATCTCTTTCTTTTTTTTTTTTCGTGACCGGTAACGGGATCGCAACCCTTGGTGTCGCGCCTGTACCGCGACCGGCAACGGGATGGTGTTGCACCCGCACCGCGCTCACCAGTGAGTGGACCGGTCTCTATATGGGATCCGAACCCTCGGCGGGAGTGCCACCGTGCTCCCAAGCGCCGCACTCTACCAAGTGCGCCACTGGGCCAGCCCTAACTTTGTTAAGTATAAACACAGTGTGGTTACACAGGGGAGTTGTCCTTCTTTTTAGGAGATACTTAAGTACTAAAGGGTAAAATGTATGATGTTGGCTGCACATTACTCTAAAATGGCTCCGCAAAAACTATAGATAGCCAGACAGATATAGATAGATGGATGAAGCAACTACAGTAAAATGTTACAATTGCAGAATTTAGGTATTGAGAATAAAGGTGTTGAGTCTGATCAAGATGGCAGAATAGATGGTCCCCAGCATCACCCTCTCCCACAATCAACCAATTTACAACTATTAAAAATCAACAACTGCCAAGCTGGGGCCATTAGAGCTCAGGGGAAAAGGAGGAGAGACGTATGGAGTTCATGACGACAGGAGAAGCCACGAGGAGAGAAAGAAAGGACTGCTCCAACTGTTTTGAGCCCTGACTACTTCAAGGCTGGAGCTGGTGAGCACATGGAGCAAGAGCTGGCAAAAGCCACATCTGTGTCCTTCATTTGAAGTTGCTTGGAGGCGGCAGGGGAGAAGAGGGCCTTGGTGGCCCCCAGGCCAGCAAGACCACTAACAGGGTTCCCGTGGACCCACATAGGGGCTAGGAGCCACAAACAACTGAAAAAAAGGAGCCACTCAGAGACCAGTGAGTCATTGCAAAGGACCAGCGCATGGCCTATCCCACGGGAAGTGTTTGTAGTGTGGGCAGTGGGGGAGACAGGCCCACTGGAGGAACACTGGGGCACAGCATGGACAGCTGATCTGCCCTCCAATCAGCACAGGACTACTCAGTGGAGACTGGTAAGGAATACAGAATGGCAGGGGGTTCAGTTTGCTGAAAAGACTCAGGCCCAGACCAGAGGTTCCACAAAGCCCAGGTGTACCAGACCTCACAAGACCCGGAAGTGCTTACAAAGTCAACAATTAAAACCCAAGCTGCACAAAAAGCCTTCCCCAGAGAATCAGAAGCAAAGAAGCAATTTAGCTCAATCATAGGGCTCAAGTGCTGGTTCCTACAGGAAGTTCCTGCATTTTAAAAGTAACCAAAGGACAACAAATTTGGTCCAGTGCAGAGTTTAAGTGGTGGGAATAGTGAATAATCCACACAGAACTGAACAAAAACATAAAACACCCACAGATCAGAGACAAACTTTTGATATTAACTAGTAAATGTCTAACACCACCAAAGAACATATATAAAACCTAGAAGGACTGGAAGCCTCCCAAGCTCCCAAGCTGGTGGGGGGGTGGGGTGCAGAAGGCCTCAGCCACACACTTCTGATGTCTGCATCCACCCAGCGACAACCACCAGGCTGCTGCTGGAAGTGCCCCTGGCTCCTGAGCCAGGGCAGGGGGCGCCTAGGGCCTCAGCCATGCTCCCCCAATGTCCTCATCCAGTCCAGTGACGACCACATAGCTGATGCCAGAAGCACCCCAACCTCCTGAGCCAGGGCAATGGGAGGCCGAGGGCTTCATCCACGCCACCCTGATGTCCACATCCAGCCCAGTGACGACCATGGAGCCACCACTGGAAGTTCCCCGGGCTCCCGAGCCAGTGTGGTGGGGAGCCAAGGGCCTCAGCCACATCCCCCCCCCCCGACATCTGTATTCAGCCCAGTGATAACCACCAAGCCACCACCAGAAGCGCCATGGGCTCCCTAGCTCGGGGGCGCTGAGGGCCTCAGCCATGCCCCCCCATGTCCACACCCAGCTCAGAGACAACCACCAGGCTGCCGCTGGAAGTGCCCAGGCTCCCAAGCTGGGGTGGTGTGGGGCTGGGGACCTTAGCCACACACCCCCCGACATCCACATCCAGGCCAGCAATGACCACGGAGCTGCTGCCAAAAGTGCCCTGGCTCCCGAGCCAGGGTGGTGGGAGACTGAGGGTCTCAGCCATGCCCCCTGACATCAGCACTCAGCCCAGTGATGACCACTGAGTTGCTGCTGGAAACCCCCTGGGCTCCCTTGCCAGAATGAGGGGGGTGCCATGGGCCTCAACCATGCCCCCATTTCTTCCTCCTCCCACCCTATCCCCTGCCCCTTTCCTCTCTCTCCCTCCCCGCCAACTGCTCCATATCTTAGAATGCAAATAATAATAATAATAAATAAATTTTTAAAAAAGAGAATATGGGTGTTCACATACTATCTTTCTACTTTTATGTATGTTTGGAAATTGTCATAATAAAAAGTTTTAAGTAACGAATGAGACTAAGAGATTATAATAACCAA